CCTAATATTTCATTCACCAGCGGCAACGATTATGAAATAATTATAAGTGATAACGAATGATGAGAATCGTGCATTAAATATCTTGTGATTTCTATGTTATTATTATGAGTCGTCAATTTGGTTACTTATTTCCCAGTAATAGACACTAAAATGCAAAGGCTAGTGGTATCCAAACTGAATAAAGCTGGCATATAAAATTTCAGAGATTAGTTACCAAATAAAGAGTTCGCGGAAGGCCACCCACGGGCTCGCACCTGACAAACAAACGGACGAACACCAGAGCAGTAGCTGTACTTACATTTTTGCTTCACTTCAGGGCTGCTACCTGTAATTATTTAATTCAATATCCACAGAAATTACAGGATGAGGAAGCATGTTATCTTAGTCTTCTAGTTTAGCAACATATGAGGGGTTATACGTCCCTTACACGGTGACGTGATATCCATAAGCAGTCATGAAAACGGGACTATATTGTCACTTTCTAACAATTGATCTATATGTTTACTATCTATATATATGTTTACTATTCCATTTATAATCTATATCTACATATAAATAAAATTTGAATGTCTGTTTATAATACTGAAATAACAGTTTTTTACTACATGCATATACATGAATATAAATACGGTACATACACCAAAATAACATGTATTACCATTTTTGTCTGTGTTTCTATCTATCTGTTTGTTCCGGCTAATCTCTGAAATGGCTGGACCGATTTTGACGGGACTTTTATTGCCAGGCAGCTGATGTAATAAGAAGTAACTTAGGCTACTTTTATTTTAGAAAAATAAAGTTAAATTCCACACGGACATAATCGCGGGTACACCTAGCACATAAATAATAATAGTGGACGATCCACACAGTGCCATCTAGCCCCAATCTAAGCAAAGTTTGTCTTAGGAGTACTATACGACTGATATACCTAAATACTTAAACACTTATATTGAACAAGAAGAAATATGTCAATCCACCGCTGATATTTTTTTATGTGTCTAACTACGTTAAATAGTAACAGTCGCCTGTAGTTCTTAACACGCTGGTAAAAATGTGCAATTGTAATGTGCTATTCCTGAGGCATTTTCTTCCAGTCAACCATTGGCCAAACAGAGATAATTGTGGTAAAATTATGATTAACACGTTGGGACCGGGAGCTCACCCGAGGGCACTTTAATTGAAATAAATCTAGGAGTTAAATAATGCCTACCTCAAAATATTGTACACTAAAAATAATATAAAAAAGACCGGTCCCTATGTGAGTAATAAGACTTTTCAATGCAGTCTTACAATACACAATACAGATAAATACATTTGCGAATATACATACATATAATACATAATATTAATAAACACTTACACATATATTAAATATTTATAAATATAACTACATAGGTACGTACAATTATAAATTTACCTATATAAGAGTAAGCTTTAAACTTGTTAGTTTATATCATGTTCATAATAAAAATAGATCTGCTTATAAAATGTCTATGTTTCCTTGCGTCACGCATCCTTCCATCACATGTTGAATTAAACAATATCAACGTGATGTCGGTTACAAAAATATTTATGCATCAATCAAAGTAACTTCACAATCTCTCACACAAAGCACAGTCGGAAGCAATGAGTTATATCATTTATTTATGAAAGCATTTCAAATAAAATCATAATGAAAGATTATTTTCTATTTCTATTTTCTAGGAACCGTATACTCATATACCTGCCTATAGGCAGTGAGAATGATTACCTACAGAGTATGAACAAAGTCGCCTATGGTACCTACGGGTGTCACATGTTAACGTGATATGCATGTGGCCAGGCACCCATACCCATGCCTATATCTCAGCATCACATCTTACAAAACAAGCAGCTTGCTTTGTAAGATGTTTGCAAGGTGATGCTGGGATAAGGCAGTTAAATTACAAGATATGGAAAAATGATATTTTAATCCTTCAATGGCAACGTATAGATGCCTGGCATATCACACAGGCATATCACATGATAACGTGAAGCCCGTGGTGGAGTTCATGTATTGTGTTTATTGGATAAAAAAATATTAGCTATCTCTTGACGGCGCCGGTGGTCTAGTGGTTTAGCACACCGCTTTACTTCCGATGGTCACGGGTTCGATTCCTCGCACAGTACAAACATTTATATGTATTAATGAGTATGATTGCCTCTATCGGTCTTGGTGTTTGCTATATATATATTACAAATACACAAGCTCAGCTTCGCCTGACTGAAATCTCTAAGGACATTATAATTATTATTACCAAAAGCAGATCTCTTATTATGAGATGTATTAGGTGGTTAAATATCCACATCTATCTAGAATATCTAAAATGTTATAAATAAATTAAATAATAATAATAAATATATCGTTTTCAATCACGTACCCAAGTAACCCAAGCACAGCATAATACAATATGAAAAATATAAAATAAATAAAACTAAAATAAAATAATTCAGCTGGTGTTGCAGTGTCATTGCAGCGCTGATTTCCAGTGGAGAAACCATTCGCAAGAAATAACATTCATGATGATTTCATTAAGTTTACTTTTAAATAAAATTAAAATTAATGAATCTAAATATAACAAAGGAGTTAATTAATTATACGAATTAGAAGTATCTATATATTTAGAAGTATGCAAGTCAATTCTATTTTAAACCGCTAGGTGTGTTACGTACCTATTGATGAATTTATCTGTTTGGAATTAACAGTTAATCGCCGAAACTGTTAAAACTCGATAAAACACAGACAAAACTGTTGGAAACTCAATAAAATCGCATTAAACGGTTGCAATGGGCGCGTTATTTATTTAAGTGGTTTTATTGACTCGGCGGGCGGTGTACCCACCGACCACACATAAAATTCAACCTTCCGACCATCATCTGACAGTGAGCATGTTTTATTTTAATCTAATTGTACTTTGGTTTGCTTTATGTTTGTGAAATCGGACAGATTGCTTGCATTGGAGATACGAAATTTGTTCATTTATTTATGTAGGCAGGCATAATCTTTTTTATGTGCTATTATATTAGCTATTATCGGTGACTTGATCTGCTTTTTGAATAATAATTATAAATAAGCATCTAGTCCCAAGCTACGCACATCTTGTTTTAAGTAGGTACGTATATGTATACTAACTATAAGATAATTAATATAATAATAATAATATCTCAGGACAATTCACACAGCGCCATCTAGTCCCAAGCTAAGCAGAGCTTGTGTTATGGGTACTAGATAACTGATATATATATATATATATATATACATGGATAAATTTTTTTTGTAAATACATACATAATATTATACATAGAAAACACCGTGCGAGGAATCGAACCCACGACCATCGGATAGTAAATCGGTGTGCTAAACCACTAGACCACCGAGGCTGTCAAATTAATAGAAATACATACTAAGATATACTTATATTTTTTGGAAATATTGCTAATATACTTAGGTAGGTACATAGACAACACCAAACCAATACAAACAATCATACTCATGACTATCAACGATTGCATCTTGCGAGATTGAACCCGCGACCATTTCGGGGCTAAACCACTACACCGAAGCCGTCAAAGCAAGACATAAAAGATAACCTAATAATGTCCGTCCTATTCAACTATCTATCTTCACGTAAATTTTATTAAAGTCCGTCCAGCCGTGTAGTCCTGAAAAATAAATAAGAAGTAGATGTCTGTCTACATTATTCGGTTATCTTTTATATCTTACTTTGACGGCTTCGGTGTAGCGGACTGACACTTCACATTTATAAAATTAGTATAGAAGTATGAATAAAAAAATGGATGATGGAATGGTGCAAGTGGGAGCTGCGCTATGTACGCAGGGGCACCAGTAGAAGATAAGATGAAAATGAAGTCAGGTCAGTGGTTAATTCATCTGGAGTTAAAAAGACGGTTCCAGAGGGTTTCTTTGAATCGACCACATATCTCAAATTCCTAGTAATGGGGTTACTAGATCCACTACTAACAATTCTCTATCCTCAGTATAATAATAGTTTCAGGTCATGATTTTTTCCGTTGATTTCGCAGTAACGAGCTATAAGAACATTGACATCGTGATGCGCAACTTAATAGGCTGTTTGATCTTATAGTTGTCTATAATTAGTTAGATACCTAATTATTTTATCAAAACATACCTATTCTACCTAAATACCACTTTCAATTAGATATTTTATTGATGATATTATTGTTATTAATCTTATCTTATTATATTATTGTATATACCTACCTATATTAATAAGGAAATAAAATCGTGTTCCAATATTATCTATTTTTAACTATAGTACCTAATAATATATACCTACTTATTTATTAAAATTTACCTATTTTAAACCGCACCTAATAGGATTTTATATTTTAGGTGTGAAACTGTGAACGAATACGTCATAAATACCGAAGATCTAGACATATTGTCATGTCTAATTCTCTACATAGTATGTGGTTTAAGTATTCGTCACTCAGTACGAATACTTAAACCACATACTATGTAGAGAATATGTAGAGATAAAGGAAAAAAAATTAAAGTGTGCTCTTTCAATTCGTTTCAAAAGGCAAAGTCATTAGTTTATTGCGGGTCATGAATGTTTGTAACCCCTTGAATACTTGAACAATGAATACTTTTTTTACCTGTAGAGCCATCTATCAATTCTAGATATGAAATATTACACGTAGAAATGAAATATTTACATAGAAGATATTTTACTTCGTTTTTGCTTTCCATTCAACAAATTACTTTGGATGCGACAAAAGTACTTCTACTCGACACTAGATGGCGCTGTTACAACACGATACATTAAATATCTTATTTATTATATTATTAATTAATTTCATCCAATAACTAGTCTTTAAAATATTTTTTTCTAATTATATTTAAGATTTTTTATAAAGAATAATATTACTAATTTCATTAAATCGAAGCATACCGATGACGACTGCAAAATGGAACGAATTATAACATTGAATGAAAAATGACGTTTCTTGACAAGTGCACTTTGTTATCGTGCCGATTATTTTCAATATTTTGTACAAGAAAAAAATTCTCGTGTATCAGTGTAATCAATTTTCATATGGATAGTAGAAATGAAACAAAATCAACTATGGAAATCACGAACGTACCACCCATTATTTCTATATACCGGCACGCACTGAGGACATTCGATGATAAGTTCAACAGCGAATTCACAACCAACTTGAACAAATTAAAATACTTGATGGATATGCTAAGAGCTGATGATTTGGGTTTCGACGATGGACTCAGTGAGCCAACGTTATGGAGAAAGCCGAACAAAGCGCCTTGTACATACATAGAAGTGTTTCAAAATAGTGATATAAACATGAGTATTTTTGTGTTAAAACCTGGCTTCAAGATGCCTTTACACGACCATCCTCATATGCACGGACTGTTAAAAGTGATTGTGGGTGCTGTTAAAATTAGAAGTTTTTCTGAATACCCCTTAAAGGACGCTGTGAATGAATTGGACTTTGCCGTGCGTGCGAGGCACGAAGCCGCTCGCTTGGCCCAAGGTATTCATAGACGTAGAAGATTGTTTGCGAAAGTGAGTCATAATCGAATATGTAGAGCTAACACTGAGACATGTACCTTAACACCTACAGTTTCAAATTATCATGAAATAGAGGCTTTAGATATGCCAGCAGCATTTTTCGACATTCTCTCACCACCTTATGATACATTAATTAAAGATATAGGTCCAAGAAGATGTCGATATTATAATGTAGCCAATGAAGTAAGCGCTAATGTTGTAGAATTACAAGAAATGGATGTTCCAAAGTGTTTTTATTGTGATCAAGCACCATACTTAGGACCCATACTTGGCTAGGTACAAATTTCTTTAGTATTAGTTAGTGTTTCAAATTGAATACTTCTGTTTAAGAGACCATTTTTCTAACTAATATTTATATAATAATAAATTTCATGCTTATGCGTTAACTAGTGGACTAACATAAGTGTGAAAAGAAATGGTCAATTAAACAGAGCAATGGGTATAAAAAGTTATGTGAGACAAAATCTATTAAATAACAGATGTGTTTCCTATACTTTGTACTTTTGCAGAAATGCCAGATTAATATTTATTGAAAACATAAAAAATTATAGCTGTGTATATTTAAATATTTTACAAGATTATGAGCCATATACTATTGTAACTTACACTCATTAAGAAGTTTTACATAAATAATAATAATGTCATAAAATTATATAACAGAGGAAAAATAACCTTCTGCATTAGGTTTATGTATGAATCATCACAGAATATGCATCACAGCAAATCATCATATATATCACAAAAGTTTGTCTTTATGTTATAGAAAAAATCATTGAATTAAAATTATTTCCATTATATTGATCTATTTGCATATAAGAATTGTATTAGATTATGGACTATAAATATTTATTTGTTCTATATGTATATATGTTATAAAGAAATAGTGAATTGAATTAAATAATGATAGATTGATATAAACAAGTATTTTGATGACATAATTTTTCTATTACTTACCATATTGTAGAACATTGAATGAAAAAACATAAAACTTATCTCAGGGGAACTTAACTGGCTACTTAGTTGACTAGGCTCTATGTCTATGATTTTAATGCTACATTAAAAGTGGAAAACTGGCTCCATTTTTACTTTTACATATATCTACTTTTTAAAATATATACCTGTCTTACAAACACTACTTTATCATCTATGGATCTTTAAAGAGCATTGAGCTTTAGATGTGAGGGTAAATTCTCTCCATTCAGAATGATTCCAAGTATCCTATCTTATAAATATCAGGATAATTTTATTATGGAATATCCTATTCAAATTACGTCTAGGAAAAATAAACAATATACTTCATTATATAACTAAAAGTATTATTATTGCTCTTGCTTCAAGCAAGTAATAAATATATGTATCTGGCAATCCAGAAACATAGGTAGTTTCAAATGTTATTCTAATTGAGATTACCTGGACAATTTCGATAGTGCAAATCATTTTGTGCCTTCTTTAACATAAACACAGTAAAATACTAGTAATGTGTGTTAATTAAAATTACAAACTAAGTGAGGATACCAACACCAAAATAAGTTACCATAAGACTTATACCATTTCATATTGTGCAAATTGTTAATAATAAAATATCACATTATAAATATTAGAAAATATTCTTTATATACCCAGTTAAGGTAATTTGTATATGTTATTTATTATTATTTATTTTACAAAGCACATGCCTTATTACACTATTGACATTTATCACATTCCATTATTATACCATATAATAATGATACCAGAATTTTTAACTTCATTTACATATTTTATATTTTACAATGTAGTTAAAAGTTTATTATATTATGTATGATTGTTATAATAATACAGTAGTACACCACATTATAGAGGGTGTTTAAATGTTATATGATATTACATACTAAAGAATAATATCTTATAATTTTAGCACTGGTAAGATAAACAAAACTTATTACGTATTTTATCTATAGAAGAAAATAGACAATCTCCTAGAAATTATTTAATTATAGTAGTGTAAAAAAGGTTTTACGTTTCATAAAACTGTGTTTGTAAAAATAAAGTAACTTTACACATATGACTTATAGTATTAAATCTGATTTTTACAAAAAATCTATCTTTTTATTTCACAACGTTAATATATTTAATTAATGTTTAAATTAATATATCAGTTACACATTGTAAAATGTAATCCTCAATATCAAAGCTTTTAATTTTATAATAATCAAATCATTACTTGAATATTGTTATTCTTATAATGAATTTATTTTTCAATTTTTCCATAATTCTGTTATTATTAATATTACATTATTATAAATTATTAAATGAGACTGCATAAAATATTCTTAAACTATGTACATATCCACCCATACTGATTATTTTTTAAGCAAGTAATTGTACTTATTAATATAACTTGCTATGCACCGACAATTGCAACAGTATGTGAGACTAGCTGAGCCTGTGATATATAACATGGCATGAACCGTGGCACAACAATAGTTTGTAACTATTTTTTTGTAATGCCCCGATCAGAGTCTATCGGATGTGAATCGTATTGACTGACCAGCCCCGAACTTCACTTATTTCGAGGTGGCGGGGCAAAAATGAAAAAATGCTGCACCCCTAACGCCCTGCCCCTCTGGCCAACATTATTAAAATATATGCCGTATATATATAAGTATATATTATTTACTATCAATTAATGTTATCTATTTCTTTATCACCAATCAGGTACCTACTTGAATGTGTACCTACATCCTGCCTGTGGTATGCCTTGAATGTGTATGTTGCCTCTACTGAGTGTCCAATATTAAGAATACCTACCTAGGTTTATCGTCAAGAAACCTGGCTCAAATTTATAATATTTTATTTGGCAGCGAATTTTCAGTGTCTTATTTAAATTATAATTTTAGTGCAATATACCTATAATAAATTTGATCTCTTAAATATTTTTAAAAATATTTAGTATCACATTTAGGTAGTTTATGTAAGATAACTTAAGTATGTAAATAGCACAAATTTAAATTTATTTAATAAGCATCTATAGGTATCTATATATATTATTTTTTTATACTCGGCATATTTAAAACAATGGATACATACCTACTGGCATGTATTAATAATATATGTATACAGATTAATAAAATACAAATTTATTATAAATATTCAATAATTTTACTTTCCATTATATGATATGATGAAAATACATAATATACAATAGTTTGCGAGTTTTATTTAAGTATAAAAAACGGTCATAATACTTATTGATCGAGTTAGAAATCAATTTCTGTTTCTTAAGTGAAATTAAACGAATAAAGTTTGTTTAGGTATAAACCTAGAAGTCAAATGTTTTCTTAATAAAATATATAATTTAATTAACATTTTTATTTTATTTTAACACCCTTAGAGCATATATATATACTTATATATACATTTGGAACTTAAAATATATTTATTGATAACTAATGTATTACCTACATTTGGTAGTCTTCCAAGTCGAAAAGGTGGTATTATGTGGTAGAGTAATGTAGCCAATATTTACTAAATCTATTTATTTCATAATAAATTACAATATTTAAATATATTTTTTTAAATTAAAAGAGAATTGAGAATATTCTTAAGTTGGTTAAAAAATTAAATAGTGATGCCCATATTTTGATGACCACTGTGTAAAATATTTTTTATATTCCTACTATATTTTATATGAGTGTAAACCACTTTATTTCCGCCATCCCATGTATATCTTTTTAAAATAATAATTTACCATTTGTAGTAAACACGGCTTTAAAGTTCAATAAACTGCTCTCGTCTATCACTAACGCGATAATAAAGGTTTCGGTAGGAATGAGTTTCTATAGGGATTTATTTAAGGTATAAAAAACCATCAGAAAACAAGTGATGTGTTTAGTTATCCTTTGAAATCAATTGACCGTCCTCCCTCTGGAATCTGCCGCCCCTAGGCCGCCGGCCGTGGCCTATTTAGGTATAAATCCAAGACTGTGGCTTAGTCTCAGGCATTGTTTGAGTCTGGACGAGAATTTGAGGGATACTCGTTAGATTTAAAATTAAATAAAAAATCTCCGTTAATTTGAAAATTTCTTTTTTCAACTATCTTTTTTTATTATATTTTACGGACATGGCAACGCACATATTTATAGGCTGCCAGTAAATAAGTTTTTTTATAGAATTGCACAGACATTGAAATAAAAAAAACAGTAGTAGTTAATAATTTTATTGAATTATAAAATAACAATAGCATACTAACCAATAGATCACACAATCTCTCAACAATTGCACGCTAGAATCACTACAAAGACATAAAATATAAACAAGATGCAGAAATAGATTCCGATCATAACAGGCGTGAAGAAAATAAAGATGAAACCCGTGCCGCCTAATTTATAAGCAGTCTCATCACCAATAACAATATTAATAACCAGACTGTAATAATACAATATTCTCATGTCATAACAGGTAATTCATTCTAAAAGATTTACATTTTGGGGTTACAAAAGAAAATATATTACTTATAATATTCCTATACTGTGATTCGCTAGAAGTCACAATCAATGTAAGTTAGTCAATTATTCTATAAAAAAAACAATAATATCAAGCCGAAGAAGATAATTTTGTGAATTAATCTAGCTAGAATATTTGATAAGTAATGTAATGATATGTATCAGTGATTTTACTTATTGAATAAGCGGCACGGATCCGAGTACCTACGGGAACATTTTTGACATGATCGAATCAATATCAAATCGAAATAACTTGAAATTTTTATAGCTGAGAGACCAAATATCATCCAATAAACCATTATTCGATTTAATCCCGATTCGTTCGTATCAAAACTTATCCGGTTTAGTTTAAGATATAAATGCAAAAATATCGCTAATCTGATTGTAAATAAATATCTTTCCATAATATATATATATTTAAAGGCATAATTGTTATTTACAGCACCTTTGATTTACATTTATAAAGCAGTATGCTGTTTTCAAATAATTTGAAATATGATATTTTGAATTTTAAAACAGGTACAAAAAATATTTGGTTCACCAACCTTTCAGCCGGCATTGAAATATTATGTATTAATGTGATAGAAGAGAAATGAAAATTATGAAAGCGAAATCAAAATTAATATAGTTTGTTTCTTTGCATTTCTAATTTATACTACTTTAAAAGCTTCTTCTTAAACACTATTACCACACTAACGAATATTAAACAAGTGCATTGCAACAATATAACCGCAATTAATTGAATCAAATCCGCTGTCCTATTACATTAGTCCATAACATCTCAATGTCCTAACTAAACCACTTTTTCCTTTGCCAAAACATATCAAAAACATTTAGTTCTCCTCAATCATAATTATCATTTCTAGGTTATAATACAACAATCAATGATGCATTGATACTATAGAATTACCGTATTTATAGTATTTAAGAATATCTTAGTCATACTATGACACTTATGTGTACGTGCCAGGTGTCATACGCTATCGAGATTTCAGTTAATTGTTATATCTATAAACTAAAATCCATATACTTGATACAGTCATCATATAAAGATATAACATGATAAGGTTGTTTTAATGCAACACATTATTGTAGTGTTAAAATTAGTTCTTTATAGATATAAGCAAGACTGAAATTTACTGAAGGTAGACTATAGTTGTAAAGCATGAATACCTTTATGATTTCAATATAATATGGGTCCACACTACTTACTCTATGAATGGTACTCTTAACTAAGATATTAGTGAAATTAAATAATAAGAATATCCGTTTATAAAGTTACTTTTCATTGCATGTACATATTTTAAAAAGATGTTATGACTTTAACATAGCTACTATGCATTAACAAATAACATAGCAATGCAGTTTATTTTTTTTAACCGTTTCACATTAGCTAGAATCGTTCCTAATAGTTTATAAAAATTAATTTAAAAAAACAACATCAGTCTAAAATATAAACTTATAAAGCTAACACGTACACAAATAAAATTTTGAGCATATACTTAAGCATATTTTAATAATAAAATTCAAAGTTATATATGTACGTGCTCAAATATATCATGCGAAATGCTTAATGGAATTAAAATTACACCTACTGATACAATTAAAGTCACGAAATATTACGTATCACCTGTTTTTAGCTTATAAATACAGTAAACAGAACTGTACACATAATATAAACGAGATATTTATTTATATTTAATTTGTATGTAATACACGCTCGACGATAACTTGTGCGGAATGCATTCTGGCATTAAGTATATAATTTTGTGTGCAAATAAATAAATATTTACCACATACTACATCTTGTTTATATAATGTGTACAATTATATACAACCGCAAAAAAAGTTTATAACTGTATAGAACATTTTACTTCTAAATCTTTTTCTTTCTTTAAATTTCTTAAAAAAATGATAAAGGTGATTATTGTTCAAGCAACTCAAATACAACAATTTGCGCGCCTGAATTCTGGTATATGTGGTTGTGATTCACATCTATTAAGCTGTTCTTTTACATACGAGTTTAGTACTTTTACGTTACGATAGCACACACCAAAAAACGACTCGTTAAATGTCAAATCACTCTTACAAAAACGATCATACACACTAGGTACACTCGAATTGTAATTCTTCCTATAATATGAATTAATGTTATATTTTTACGAACTAAAGTTAATTAAGGTTAACTAAAAATGGTTGCCTGTAAAAACTAATTAGTAACAGAAAATCACTCTTTGTCTCACTCTGAAAATGCCAAGTTCTGATGGGAATTGATTCACAAAGAGATTGCATTTATCATTAAAAAGGAGATAAAGTTATCATTAAATTTGGAAGATGATGAAAATGAAATGGAAATTTGTAGTGTCTATAATACTTACTTTCATATGTTTATATATTTATATTCATATATTTCTACTGTTTTTGCTATAGACTATATATTGAGATGAAAATAATACACAATCAACACTGACTTGATTGACGTAACAAAGGAAATATAAGTATAAATTCTTTAATCGAACCAAAAACAATTGTACTATTATGATTATTTTGTCAATTTGCATTTCAGATAAAAAATGTTTGCATCACTAAATAATTACATTTTTGTCCATTAAATTCTATTTTAATAATAACTTTAATTAATCAAAAAGCAATGCAATATCAATATTACAATAAAAATTTACTACTTTAATTAATAATAACAAATTTGCATTACAATATACTGCTACCAAAATTTTTAATTTTACAAAATATAAAACTTAGTCAAATATTTTTATGATTATCCAGACGTGTAAAAACACTAACCAAAGTTTTCTTAAGACCGTAATACAATATTTCAGATAAATATTTGAGATTTGTCTACGGAACCACAGAGAAACATAATCTTATAACATAGTTAATTATACTAAAGCTATTGGTTCTACCACTAAGTAAAGGCAGTGAAAAGGTACAGTACAATAAATTCGCATGCATAATAAGTATATTATATTATCGACTTGTGATTATGCCGTTTAATTACCATTATGATAGTACATATTAATTTTCTTCCTGTTATATTCGACGTAGTCGTCTTTTTATCATAATGGCAATAATCTACTAATGCCTTTGTCTACCACATACATGATAAAGATCATGAGGATATTTACTTTATCTTATATTATGTAGTACTACTAGTACAAAGTAGTATTATGACATTGAATATACAAATTCAATAAAAAAAATTAAGTTAGGTGGAACCGAATATGGAGATTAATTTAATCAATAAACATTACTTTAAAGCCAGTTAGTCGACACGATTTATCCGTGAAGCTGTAAGGCCAGCAACGGGCAACAGCATTAGAATAGATTAAAAAAAAATGTCGACACATGACTAAGATGTTTGTGGCAGCATAGAAATATTAGGAGCTCATAAATAATATTACCATGGTAATATCCTGTAACGTAACAATTTTATTCAAATAATAATATAAAACTAGATCAGTAGTAGATCTTATAATTGGTACTTATTCAAATTCGTAAGTTAGACTTATATAGGTCATAATTAAGGTTTATTACTTGCTACATTTAGTAAACAATTAAACAATCATGATTTGACTTTTTCATCAAAATAATAAATAAAACAAATAGATAAAAAGACTTCTGTATTTTGTATGTTATTATTACTTTTCACAATTCTATTATTCTTATTTGTTTATAATTAATATCGATAACAATGTATTGTTATCGAAATTATGATTATTTACTAAATGTACAAAGTAGAACAGAATCATCATCCATTCAAGAAATATGAATTACCATTATTTTATTAATATTATTAGTGTATTTTCCACTATATATTGGTACTAAATTGAACATAAAGTCTTTTATTAATATAAACATTATGCTATAAACATTCACCAAACAATTTAGTATCACATGAACGTCGCGCGAGACGCTTTTGTACCTAAAATTGTTTAATTAGTTACTTGCAATATATGTATTTGCCTAAATAACTAGTTTTGTATTCAATTACTATATAATTAATATTAAATTAAAGTTGAAATTATAAGACTAGTTAAACGTTGTATGGATTAAACTTATTAATGACAGAAACAATTTACTTTTTAATCAGAACCTTTCATCAGTTAAAAATTATATGTTTTTTATTTTATTTTAGCAGAGGGGTAAAGTCTATGAATCACTCCTCTTGTTTCGAATACTATAAGGACCAAGCTTTGCTTGAGATTTGTTCTGCCCATTTGAGTAGTAAACCTAAAATTACTATCTAAAATTACTTTTGTCATAATTTTCTAGAATTCTTTATCATCACAATTTGGTACTGTTCAATATAATAATTAGAATCTCAAACGCATCTATGCGTTACAAAGAATAGTTATATATTGTGGTATTTAATGATGTACCGTGCCTTAGGCAATCATGAAACGATGAGATGGTGAAAAATGTATCTGTCACGTGAATATGACTGTATAACGTGTAACCAGTCTTTATTTTGCGGCCGAATAGATTGTTTATGATATTACGAATATATTTCTAAATTTTTACCTTAACAACAACGCAAGTATATTAACCAATAAAATATTAAGGTCTACTATATTTAAATCTATCGTATGATATCGATATGGTAATTTTTTACCCCGTATAATTCCATCGCCACCTCAGGCGCGGTACAACACATTATTATCTACACGCCAGACATAACTTCAAACGTTTGACATATGTGATGAAATTTCAACAAACAAACACACGTTAGCGAAAACAAAAGTATACTTCTCATGCTTTACAAACATGTGCGCTTCCTTTTGCTCCAAAACTTACATCTACAGCGACGTCACACTTATAATTGTAATAGCGAGAATGGCACGTCTAGGGTATCCTACACATTTAGCCCTTACAATAAAAAGCATGCGCAACTAAAATGTTATGCATCGACTGCAACATGCTATAACCACATTTGAATTTCTATCACTTTGATATGCGCTCAAACCCCGCCACAGGCAATGTGCAAATGAAATTAATCTTGTAAATGTGTAATTAAAGCTCAAATACCTGTGTGCCACACATTGCGACTTTGTAGCCGTTTGCATATTTAAAGTTATGTCTGACGTCTGCTTAGACAATATAGAACTGTAGTGTTACTATTAAAATTGTGTCATTTATGCAGGTAACTCCGGCCGTTCGCCCACTCCGCCTGCCAAGTCGAACACTGCTTGCGATACTTCTGCAGCTAGATTATCAGCCGCCTGAAAATAACGACAATATCAACTCGATAGTCTCTACAAATAAATCTTTATAGTATACAATAACCGATACAACTTTCCTTCAACATTCTCAATATTATAGCAAGTTATTTATACTTCCATCACATTTAAATAGATTAAAATTACGAATCACGATCAGAATCGTTAAACAAAATCATGCTATGCATATATCAAATAACAGAGAAAACCTATTGAATACAACCATTACAATACAAATAAACATACAAGTTTGTGAGTTTAGATGTACGAACAACTAGATTACCCCGAGGTAATCTCCGGTACTATTGATGCCATTTTTTAAATCCTTTTAGTGTTGGATAATCGAGGAATAATCAAACTAGAATTCTCAGACTAGAATTTTCAAAACAGCTCTTAAATGAAAGATGTTGTGCAAAACGGTGAAAATGTGACGCAGAAGAAAATTGCGCGGGTATAAAGCAAATAATGAATAAGTACCTGTTGAGTATCAGATTCGGCGTACACCCGAACAATATCCTCGGTACCTGACGGCCGTACAAAGGCTCGTCCGTTCGTATATTTCCCCACCAACTCGTCGATCTTCAACTGCAAACCTTCTGGCGCCGTGCAGCGACGTTCAGCGTCCTTTGTTGATATGACGTTGCGATCCTGTAAATAAAGTTGCCATGTAATGACACCAACTGTTTGATTAAGCTAAAATACGTTATAGAAATCGGAGTAACAGAGAATATAATTTCCAAAATTAACATGCCTGAGAATCGAAGATAGAATTTTATTTCAACAAAGCATACCACTTTGTCATAGAGGTTGTCACATTTATAACATTACTGGATAGTTTTAACAAGATAATGCCTTGCTGCTAAGTACCTTTCTTTACCCCAGCAGCGTTAATATTTTTATTCAATCTATTAAATTTTATCTGATGATTCATCAAAATACGAAACATTAATTAGTGCCCACAATTTGGCATGTTAAAAAACATTTTTATTCATATTACATAGCATGTATTCAAATGTTCTAAATGGCTGTCTATTTCTGTCCCGTTTTTAGATTACAGTTTTATTTAATTACTGAAACCATACAATAAATATTATCACTTATACTGTTATGTACATACCTGTACAGTAACTTTAAGTTGACGACAAGGCAAATCTGTGTATGCAGCGAGCCACTGACGAACGTTTTCGCCTCGAGCACAAAGGATTGTCTCCACCAGGAATAGATCCGAAATTGCATCGCCAACTGTCTCGTTTGTTACGTCAATTATATTCAACAATAGTTCTGCAGCTTTGCGTTGTTCAGGCTCTCTGAAAGAAATAGTATAACTTATTAGTGATTCAATTAATGTACCTTCACTGTGAATAATATAAAATTACACAGATTTATACAAATGAGTAAAATAGGCCGAATAAAAAGTTACTTGATTTTTTCAACTGTTGTAGAATAAAACAGAACTTTATTGCTGTGTCGATACATTATCGCAAACTTCTTGATTTTGTTGTATTCTTAAGATTAGAATTATGTGTTTAATCATGAAAAGATTACAAACAAACATACACACACATTTATAATATTAGTACATATGTATATGTAGAATTGCTGGTTTTTAATTGAAGACTAAAATTGGCTAATGTAAATTGATCACTTACAACGCCTCGTTAATACAGAATAAAATTTAAGATGTGTGCAAACATTAACATAAGCGTTTCCATAAAAAAACTCAATATACCCAAAAATTTAAGTAACCACTAATTAATAGAACAAATACTGACCCTTCAAGAGCTATTTTCCTGATTGTACTCTTAGCATTTTGGCTGTAGAGAACTGTGCCGTGTCCATTCGCCTCGAAGTAAACACCGACGTCGTACGCGAGAGCTGCGTGGTGTAAATGTTTCACGCCTGTTTTGACACACGTCACTGGCACTTTCTAGAACATATATTTTTGTTATGAGACACTTTTTTATGAAATGGCAAACAAGCTAACTGGCCCACTTGATGGTAAGGTAGTAACTATCATGTGACGCCCGTGTTATCGCTCATTTAGCCATGCTTGAGGGTTAAGATTTTAAGCCTCTTATCCAGTCATATCACTGCCTCATGGCGTTTGATGTGACATTGAGGTACCCACGCAGACTTAACAAAATCTACCTCGGTATCTGTTCTTTCTGTACTTATTAAAGCACTGATTTATGATGTTTCTTCTAGTTGATTATCTTTATTCAAATAGAAAACTTTTAATTTCTAAAGTCCATTAAAAAGTCATGTTACTAATTCCAGGAGGGAAAATTGCATAATAGGGATTTTATGATATGGGTAACTGTACTTATAGCGTTATGTTATGATCAGTCAAATGAAACTGTAATCAAATCAAATGAAACTAATATCTAACGGTAACTAGATACAATTATTAAGATTTAAAAGTGCTTATATACACAGAAATCAACTTAAACAAATAATATTTAATTTAAACTGTTGATTATACCTAAATCCCTCATGAGAGAAACACCACTAACTATGATAAAAATCGCTGCAAAGTTTTGTTATATTGTCTTGGTCTGAAAATTAGCGGTTCACTACTTTCCACGACCGAGTCTCGCATAAGTGAATTGGCATATTGAATATGTAAGATAAACCCCTTTGCTAACATGTACCATTTCAGATCGACCTGATCTGATCGTTGAGCTTACTGACGTGGCTGCATGGTCAGCCTGTCATCCTTCCCTGGTACTTCATTCACCATTTCATTATCAAATCAAACCAAAAATCATTTATTAATATAGGGCATTTTAGGCCCTTATGAACGTCAACTGTTTTCTATTAATATTTTTTCCCTACCATCCATTTCAGTATACAGATTCAATTGAGAAAAAATGGTAAGAAACTGAACTGAATTTCGCTTTTTAAAAAACCAGTTTATTTATATTATGTATTACTTATGGAGGTGTGTATGAAATTAAAGGAAAATCCCGTGTTTGAACAACTATTGCCATGCACATTTGTCATTCAAGTAATAACTTAGTTATCCGTAAAATAAATTACTTACCAATTCCTCAGTAATGTATTTAGTGGAACCACCATTGGCATAAGCGGTCTGCACCAATCCCAACTTGAGATCGCGAGCTTCGCACGCATTCAGCAGCTCAGTAATGTAACTAGCGTACAGAGTAGCGATACGGTCACCGTCTAATAAATGCATTTTTTCCCTGTAAAAAAAACGAAAGAAACTATAAACTAGTGGTCAAAATTCGACTATAAAATATATATACTATAAACAGCTTTATGGACGTTATAAAATATAATGTTTGCTCGTGGCTTCTTTTATGCCATGCGATTCCTGAAGACTAAATATTTAAGCTGCCAAATCTCATACTTGAAAACACCTTGGAAAGCAAGGGGGTGATTGAATTAGGTGAGACACACAAATTCAAAGTCTAGTACAATCGACTAGTACAACGAATCATATTATAAAGGAGTAAAGTCTGTGTATTAAGATGTGTGCGATAATCTCTGGTACACTGATTCGATTTTAAAAATTCTTTTAGGAATGGAGAGATTTGGCTATACAACATTACGCTACGACTAATAGATGCGGAGCTATAATGAAATATTGCAAAAACGTGGAAACTGTGTTGCAGGCGAAATTGCGCGGGTATTACCTACATAAAACTAATGTTATGCTAAAAATATAAATTACCGAATAAGGAAGCACAGTCAGAGACATATCACATACTGCGGTGAACGCAGCAATATATTTGGTCAACTATATATATACATATTTTTATATTAATAATATGTCATACTTGTCGTCAAGGAAATAGTAGACGATACGGTCACCGTCCCCGTCCAGTGAGGCGACCCGTTGGAAAGGCACGTGTTCGACTCCCACCGGCGGCGTTTGTGACACCTTCACGAAGTCGGCACCGCACTGAAACAATACTTTAATTGTTAGATAACATGTATAGGGTTAGATGAGTAAGAGTTTGATATAATGAGTAAGAGATGTGATATTTATGATACTGTATATGAAAGTGATTACTAATTCTATGCTAAATCGAGCAAATCATCACGTAAAACGCAAAATCATTTAATTAAGTAATAGAGTCAATCGCGATTCATAGATGTAACTATATAATTAATATAAGTAACCTCCTCAACTGAATGAAATACATAAGTGAAATAAAGTTTATTTTTTAAAAACCCATCACCGGTCTTTGGAACGTAATTTCCTACTGTAAAACTCAAACAAACATTACGCATCTATACATATCTTATCTATATCATCATCTACATATAATATTTAATGATACAGCGATACAACTTGGACTCTATTTTCTTAAGAACGAGTTATTAATGTATATACAAGTTTATAGATTACAGATATATTACCTAAGTTGTACATGGTACAAAAAAATCAATTAACTTACGTTTAAGTTTAGCTTGCCGCCATTACCACCCAAATTGTACAAGTTAAGGTCCAGTTCCCCGTCTAAACTCTTCCTGATGATGTTCAGCTTCTTGCCTCCGACCCCGTTAGCGCCATCCACGTACAGCGTCGTATTATATTCACCAAACACTGGTAGTTTCTGGCGAATGTTCTTAAAAGCACCCACTATCTTTTCATAGTAACCTGAAATAAAAAATATAAAATTCTAGTATAATATTATGTGCATCACCATCTGCTTTTCCTTATGCCAATCATTGGGGTCGGCGTAAATTTTTTCTGTACCATTTAGCTCTATTCAGATAGAGTGAAAAATGAGATGACTGCATTTTTCACTCTGTTTCTTACCATATCATCTTCCATATAGTACATGTATCTCCTTTACAGCCTTCCCTCATAACAATACACATAGCTTAACTATATTATATAGAATATAGCTATAAATTAAAATGGCTTGTATATCATTTTCAATTAGCTAGCCCGCGCAACTTGCACATAAAATAGTATACATGGCGGACTTAATACCTGATGTTAGTTTCCGCATTAGTCAACCATCGCGCTGATCAGAGACAATAAGGCGGTGCAATGTAATAATATACATATTTATATATATTAAAGAGTTTTACAATAATAGCTCTTGAGGTGGGTTGCCAGTATGAAATCCTATGAAAGTTCTTTACCTTCCTCAGTCGGCGTGCCATACTTGTTATCATTACGGCACCTCACGCAATAATGCAACATTGGTGTGGATACAATGCCTAACTCCTTAGGCGTTCCCTTCAAAGCTATAACTCCATTAGCAGCCGCCGCCGCCAGCCGAGGACTCGTGTACCTGAAATAATATAAGAAGTTATTATAATTAAAAATAGTTAATTTAACCCTGCAACCGAAACGCACTTTACAAACCAAGCCGCTTGGCGGCAGAATTGAATTAAGTCATATTACATACCTGGTGTCCATTCCAATGAAAACACTGGCCTTCAGAGACATGTCTGCATTGACCTGTTTGATTATCTGCCCTGTTGTTGATTCCAAATCATTGTCACTGCAAATGAAATTTGTTTATTATTCACTAGTTCTTCCCCGCTCTTACCCGCGACTTCTGCACTAACTTCGCCTACTATTTCATTCCTTCCAGATTATTTATCATCTATCTTCACATAAATTTCATGAGGATATTTTTTATTTACATTGTTAGTAGGATTGTTATTATAGAGTATTCTGTTAATTGACGTTATGTTATAACCAAATAAAAATAAACACTGTTAATTTCTTGGTCTTTTGATTCAGTTAGCGAGATATGTTGAAATTTTAAGGATTACTAGGCGACCTAATAAACATTAATAATTTCTTTACTTGTTTGTATAATTATATACCTAATTAGCGCCTTAAAATTGAATTGTATTATATAAAGTTATATAAAACATGTATAGTCTCAAGTTTCTGGTCCTAAATTATCCTGAATTAAAACTTTAATTATTATTATAAAAGGTACAGAATGCCTTTCAATTATGCAATTAGGTAGGTATTCATGAAAATTAGTGAGCTTTAAATGAGATTAGTCATTCCGAGATTTTCAGCACGCGTACTTGGAATTAACCGGGTATGACCGACATCCCGGATTTGATTTCTCTAAACACGGAACAACAAAACACAAATATTTAAAATTGAAGCTCGAAATAAAACCTATTTAGGCGACACGGTTCCATGCGTGCGTAGTTGAATGTAAGCTCATCCGGAATAGATTTAAACATATTATCTGTCAGTTAGACCATTACTTTTACGACCTAGGTATTGGGAACACACAAATGGACTCTTAAAATGCGTAATTCAGCACTATTATAGCCCTATTAACATATATAGGCTGATGTTTACCTTCTTTTTGTAGTTGTAGTGTATTTTAGTGTTCAAATTTAGTGTTCTTAGTTTGTAATTTAGTGTTCAAAATAAATACCATAAAACACAACTGAATTTATATAATTAATTAATTATTAAAAATAAAATATAATGGCACAATCAAAGCGATTTTATTTATCTCTGAGAATATAGAACAAAGTTACACTCTTCACTTTATACTTAATTATTATTATTATTAAAGATATTTTGTTATCACCTGTAGAGCAACTGTGACTAAGAAAAACGCGAGAGTATAATATATTTTTTATTTTAACAAATTTTCGGACCGCGATCATACACATATTATGCCATACTTTTTCCATAGTTAAATAATGTCACCCGGTAATATGTATATTGTTTAATACTTGGAGAAGTTCATACGAGCAACAAATGTCCTTATTATTTATAAGTGCCTACTTATAAATAATAACTATTATCGTCTGTGGTTATAATCGAAACTGTAAGTAGGTATATCAAAACATAACTACACACTGAGTGGTAAGTGCATGTTTTTATTTCAATGACGCATATATTTAATAAATAATTAATTGTTTGTTTAACCTTAGCGATATATTAATTAGCGGAATGGTATTTGTTAAAACTATCAGCTCATTTATATTGTCAGTTTCTGCGATATTACATTATCTTCTACAACCAACTCTGGTTCCAAAAACTTAGGAGACGAGTAAAAAGAAAAACTACTGCTACACGTCCAATGTCATATCCAAATTAGAGGTAGGTGCCTATCTTAGGAAGTTTAGAAATCTCCCAACAATTGTAAAAATAAGTCACACTCTGTTTGACAATTGTTGGCAGAGGTCCTAAATTTCGAGAGAGGTAAATTAATATATTTAAGTTTTAAAGATGAATTACGACTATAACGAAAAACTTAAACATATTTACAACTTCATCGATAGAAACTTTATGTTGTTTGGTTGAGTTTACACTCGTTTTATTAGTGTAAAATTGTATAGGATGTGATGTCACAACAGGGAGAGGGGAGCCTTACAAATGTGACTGGGTGTGACATGGACGGGGGAGCGGTCAGAAAATCATTAGATTCGTGTGACATTTTATGCGCGTATTTGTTTGCAAAAAATGTATTTAAATATTTCTACCATTTGTTTCGTACCCATAACACGAGTTTAACTTATCTTGGAACTAGATGATGATAGCGTATTATCATGAGTTATTATTATTACGTGGTCGAAATTACCACCATTATTAATATAAATTATGGTTTAAATATTATGAAGGGATCTATACAAAGAGTGTGTGACAGACATGATAGCGTGTCTAATGATTTTTTATCGGTATAATGTATTATTATGCGTAATTTAAAAAAGATTTTAGCATTCTGCGCTACTTCTATGCATATAAATAAAATTAGAGTGTCTGTTTGTAATATTGAAATAACCGTTTTTTACTACATGCATATAAATATAAATATGGTACTACTAATAGGTAGCTGATGTAATAAGGAGTAACTTGGCTACTTTTATTTTAGAAAAATAAAATAAAATTGCATGCGGACGAAGTCGCGGGTACAACTAGTAAACTATAAATGTGCGAAATTTCAAACTCCGCCGCGCAATTTTCGTAAAAAGAGATACAAAATTTTTGTTTCATGTATTAATATTATTATTGAACCGTAATACCTGACATTAGCAAGCCTTGTAGCTATCTCCTCCCAGCTTTGCTCCAGCATCTCCCCTTCAGGGTCTACCAATTTCACTCCATTGTCGGGCTCCAAGTTGTGCGATGCGGTGATCATGATGCCAATTGTGCGGCCTATAAGGTAATACGGAGTTGTTAGGAATTAAGGTATTTGTTGTGGCCTCTTTGACAGGGCTGCTTGCTGGCTTGCTTTCAAGATAACTAGCTGTGCCCGCGGTTTCACCCGCGCAAAATTTATAAACTATGTGTTATTCTGATATATAAGCTATAGTATTGTAAAAGTATTCATCGTCATTCATCATACCCACTCCCAATGTACGTAATATACGTCCCAACTTCTGCGTTTATAATATTAGTAAGATATAACTAGCAGAGACAGAACAATTGACTACAGACTGATAAGACAAATAAGACAGACGATTGGGGGCGATATTAGAAAATATGTCATATATATTATATATAAGATCTCACTTTTATTAAATATCAACGACAGTCTTTAACGGACCCGACAACCAGCTTAGTATTCTTAACGTGTTTTTAACGAGACTACGAAGTCGACTGCTTGGGTACCTCTGTCTCGCCTATTTCTGTAGACAAGCTGCTAGGTTTATGTTATGTTGAACTGAAAATACAGTGTATGAAGCCATGATTTCTAAGTCCTCCAGAATGCCAGCGCTATAGTGGCGCCACGGGGGAGTCCCGTCATGGTACTGTTCATGTATAGATATAGGCGACGGCTACTTACCTGCACGTGGTTATTAGCTTGTTTACCATTCCAATTAAATAAAAAATACATTCATCTCGCTTTATGTGTAACAGTCCCACTTTCAGGCTGTCCGTTCCGCGTGTCAGAATAAGGAAAAAAACTAGGACACGAGTGACACTTGCGGACAAAAAAACCACGAATAATAATCTTACTAATATTATAAACGCGAAAGATTGTGAGCATGGATGGATGTATATAACTCTTTCAAGCGAAAACTACTGAATGGATTTTGATGAAACTTTAAAGTAATATAGATTATACATCGAAATAACGCATAGGCTACGTTTTAAAAAGATATTATGTAAATTGGACATATAATGATAAATGTCAAGTAAGTATAATGCAGACGAATTTGCGCGGGTCAGCTAGTAATAAGAATGTTATCACGATCTTTTTTTTAGGCGTCCTACTTCGACAAGAAACATAAATGGTAACATTAGGTATCCTTATTATTATGTGCCTGTCTGTTTTGTCAATTACGTCTTTTATATATACATTTTTATCTACTGCTGGATTGGTGAACATACCGTCTGGTCTCCTTGTAGATAGTAGTTATCCTATTAGATAGTAGGTAGGTGACGACGAGACATTTATATTATACATGAAGGGTATCCTGGACCATATCATTATATGACAGCTTACAGAGGAGTACAGAGTAATGACATATAATGAGTACAAAGAAATTACTTTGAAAATGATTTAACAGAGAAAACTGTGTAATTTTCCTGTGCATGTCACTTTTCAAATACGAAAGCTGTTAATAAAGCAAGACGCTCAACGGCAGAAATAGGAGAGACAGACCTATCTCCTTCTACGGTCTCACCTATTTCAAGAATACTTTGTAGGTACTGTCTACATAGACAGTAATGGTTTGCTTTGTTCATTACTAAATAGGTATATCTAGAAACAAGAATGACACTTCAAAGGAATTAGAATCATAATAATCATTCCAGTTTCAATTGGAATAATGACCACACTACAGATATGGTCATTATTCCAAAACTTAAGTTATAGTTCAAACAGTAGAACATGCAAAGTATATCTAAACTAGTTATTATTAAAATAATGTGTACTTACCATTCTTTACACGCGATCGAATTACAGCGAGTAAACCCATGCGGTAAACTACATGTTCCAGTAAACTGGCTCTGAAAATAACAAAAGTATACATGTTAATCGATATAATATCTATATTTCAACGAAGTAAAGAACGCGTCGCATTCACCCTAAAGAAAACGACCGCATTAAGTCAAAACAAACGTCGCTAAGATGAAAATATAGTAAGTTCATTAAGTTCTCGTACGTAGTTTTAAAATATTTAGGGGGGGTTAGTAGTAATAAACTAAGGGACTGTTAACCATGTTAGGTCGACCTCGACGCGGTCCCCCCTGGTTTCCAAAGGAGATCACGTGGAGGTCGACCTGTCTTGGTACATTGCTAAGAATGGGGTCACTAGTCCGCATTATTAATAATCCCCTTCCACTCACACGTTAGATTAGAGAAGAAAATGTGCTATTTTTTATCCTAATCAACCGTGGTCAAGCGAACAAAGTCATAAGTAAAAGCTAGGCTGGAATCAGTGGGAAGACTCGCCAGTCATTCTCTGTATATTTAAACTAGGTATAACATACTACTAATATTAGACCAAATAGTAAAGAGCACTGTGAGCAGCGCTGGAATTCAGGAATAGAAAAGCATAGACTAAAATAACTACCAACAACAATATATAAAATTGTATAAATACATGCCACATATTTGCATGTACAGGTAAGAAAATTATTTGTTTGTTTGTTCGTTGTTATTTTTTTTATATGATACTAGACTATTATAACAATCGGAAATACATCTGTCAACACATGGAGGATATTAGACTTCTTTTATAACAACAAGTAACGAATTTTCAGTCTGGCCAACCGGTTTGGTATAGTATTCTATTTCGACTATTCCTTCTATTTCATTGTTGCGGTATGCGATCTTACGACATCCTGGTGACGAAAATGTGTAGTGACATATATCGTAGGCGTAGATGAATAACTCAAATCTTGTGATTTCAAGAAATTTATGATTAATAATATAATTCTTGTTACATTAATTACAAAAATTATTTTACTAAAATATCATAATATAATTTTCGAAATACCAACCAGATAAATTAGTAAATATAAAACAGTAACGAGTACTATCTGGAAAACAACAAAACTATAGTTATTTAGTTCCCTCCTACGCCGGTGAAGTATTTTTGAGCCACCACACGGTGAAACTTACACAACAGGAAAACAAGAAAATTTATCACACGTGAAACTGAACCATTTTCACCCAGAAAGTAAAAATCTGAACGTAAAATTTAAAACGTGAACTTTTCCTACTGAATTGTATATCAATTCAGCAGGAGACTGCGTTTGTATGACTATTTTAAATTTATTTTCCAGTTTATTTCTTGGATACCGCTCGATACAGTTTCCTATTAACCCTATACGTTATAAGAAATACTATTATAGGCTTAGGTAGGTCCTATAACCTTGTTGATAAGTTTTAAATATCAAAAACCATCGTATGCAAAATATAAAAAAACTTTATAGTTTTAAAGTTGAAACGATTCCGGAAATCATTCACATTTACTATACCTAATTACATGTTAGTAAGTGATAGCCCATTTTGATCTAAATCTTTCAATCGTATTCTTGGCAACTTTTGTACTACCATAGACTGAAATAGACCGCTACAAATCAGGCCATGTCAATTGACTTAAAATATAGCTCATGTTACCTCCTGTCCTGGCAGATGTGAATGAACTCTACAATACATACACATGGCAAACTGTCAACGTATAGTTGATGTTAGCATTTTGCAATCCGCTCGTTTGTAATGATTGTGAATATCTAAATATGAATAGTATGAAGTACTACTTCTTTTACACTATGCAATGGTTTGTACGATCATTTAGATTTTTAGAGAATATCTTCTGGGTGCATATATGCATAAAGTTCTACGATCTTTGTCACAAAACCGGGCGATGCTAAGGCAAGTTGCTATGTTAGATAGGTACATGTAAAAAAATGACATTTATGAATTCTATATTACACAAGGATTTAATATAAAGTCGAGAGACCATAGTGACCTTGAGAGTTTACTTCTCCGTCACATGGACTTCAAAGGTCGAGAGTTCGAATATGTTTGACATTTAAATTTGCACACAAAACTTTTTAGTATAAACTTTGCGTGTGAATTTTGAATTTTCGACTGACTTTCCGGTCATGAAATACACAGCTATTACCATCCAAATACAATCTGGTTATTTATTTAAAAGCTAAATATAGAGTTTAAAAAGTTATCGCATTTTTTGCATCTGTTTTCGTGACCTTTTTGCCCCAAGTAAGTGAGCGCGTTCACTTGGACTTCGGCCAAAACATCTTAAATTTTCTACATGAAAATTGTTATGTATAAAAATTTGGTAGAGTTACAAAACCAACATTACAGGTAACATAATGTAATGACTGGATTTATAGGATGGATTTTTATCAATAAATAGCTTAAGCATGAAATACCAAAAAATATACCTAGAAGAAAATTAGATTTTTTGTTAAGAATAAAGAATGTAAAAAAAAATGGAAATAGTAAAAAGATTAAAGAAACAGTAAATACTTATTGTAACAGACCTGCATAATCTTTTGATTAAGTGTTTGTAATAGATAAAGAATTCTTAATTGATTTAAAAAAAATCGTTTACCAAGAGAAAGCAAAGTATTTATTTTCAATAAAAATAAAGAACCCTGTAACATTTGCATAAATGGGAAGATGGGGCAGGTCACTAGTGCATGACATAGCTAGTATATTTTTTTACCATCTGTCCCGCGCAACTTCGTCGGCATCACATTACTTGACATTTATTTTACATTTCACCCAATTTACATAATATCTTATTAAATCATAACCTATGTATTATTCTGATATATTACTGTAATGATTCCGTTTCCGTTCGTTAGTTTTTGCGTGAAAGAGCGACAAACATTCATCCATACTCACAAACTTTCAAGCTTATATTAGTAAGTTACCAAATGTGCGTTCACATTTTCACAATTCTCTACTGAATTCCTTTAAAAGAATAAATAATGTTTTTAGACACAAACGATTATCATGATACTTGTAACATAAATAACATCTAGGAAGGTGTATGAAAGAGACTAGTTTTATCTCGGTCAATCAATACAACCGGTCAGGCGGACAAAATCGTGAGTAGTATAGGGATATATCCATAAATACTCAATGGACACATTTTTGTAAAATATTACTTCCTTATCTAAGTAATAGTATTTATAAGATAACAGCCTATTTATATATACATATATGTGTATAGTGTTGTTATCACACATTTTACATGGGTTGGGTTTAAAAGATAGGGAATGTTTTGACAGACTACTCGGTAAATATCAAAGGATACTTTATAGGTTTACAATATTGTAGTGTATTTTTAATTTTGTATCACTTCCTCTGTTTAAAAAAAAAGAATATGTATAAGGCGGTTCACAATGCAACTATCCTACTAAACCGATAGAGCATACAGAACATTTTATAAATAAAAAAAATATTGGGCCAGCAATGAGTTACATCGCTAGTGGATATGCAGTGCTCAACACAGAAATATTACATAATCACCCAATTAAATTGTAATTACCACATTCTAAACTATGTATTAACAAATCGCCAATTACAAATGTTTGTAATTAATAAATTAAATATCTAAGTAGGTAAGTACCTATCTTAACATTGAAGCATAATTTGTATTAAACTTCAAGAAATGTTTCTTGTAACAGAACTGGCAAACATGCTGATGTTAGTCATTACTAACATGAGCATTGGCATTCCGAACAACCAAATAGTCATGTCCCAACTAAGATATTCCCTTTAACTGAAATACATCTTGCATATAGGTGAAACAGAGGTAACCATGAAGATTTTACAATGAGTAATATGGTGCATATTTGTTATAGTTTATAGCTTAATAGCTTAATAAACAAATGTAACTTGACCCTTATATTGTATATAGTTACATAGAACATAAAGATCTATTCAGAGTGGATAACAAATTACAATAAAATTAATAATCAAACAATTACTACACATAAGCATAGCCAATGTGTTATCAATAATATTAAATTGTTTGTAAAACAAAGAGCAAAGGAAATGATCCCAAAGTGCCTGGCTGTCTGCCAATATCTATATATTAATACCTGCAAGATCAAAGAATATTTTTATGACACATTTATTTTGTTAGAATCTTGGGTTCATATATGTCTTTTCTCATCAAATTTTTTAGGTCAAATTACTATTTTATAGTCATAATTGAATATTTATTTATTTTTTAGATATTTGAAAAGACTTTTTTTATGAAAACTGTATACCTGAGAAAGTGGAGTTAAATTGTGTTATAAATATGACAAAATACACAGAAGTGAGTATTTATTTTTATTAAGTATTATAGCTTTAAACTTCGACATAACATATATAATTACTATATTTTTGGTGTATTTATTTTTTCTTATTATGTGGCCCCCTCAGATAAAGCCTCCTCCATCTTCTGCCAACACTCTCTCTATCCATGGCAGTTTTTATCCTGCATTATTTTTTATATCATCAACCCATCTTTTTTTTCTGCCATCCTCTTCTTTTGCCTGTCGAGCCTGGCCATATTCAGATTAATCTATCATCCACTTAATACTCATGCTCTATCTATACCCTTATAAATTTTATTGTTAAATTTGAACTGTTAAAACCACCCATTATTTGGACTCGCCACTTGTTAATTAAATATATTAAATTTATAGTAGTGGTAGGAAATAGTGTTGTGTTATGCATATTGGTATTTATTTAGTGCTACCTATAAGACTAGATACAAATACAACAAAAACTTATATTATTTGTTTAATATACAATTCTAAATGGTCAAAATCTACATTTCTATTACTAATAAGTATTATTGTGAAACTGTGGTGGAATGTATTGTGAATTAGATAATATAATCAAATAAATTAAACAGCTTTTATCTATATTAGTGCCATGACTAAGAACAAGTATGATTCTATTATCTACAGGGGCATAACAATAGGTAAGTAATAATAATGACAGTTTATCATATGAGACCTCATAATTTATTCCAGTGATAATTATTCTGTTGACATTCTAAATTTAAAACAAGGTCTTTTTCATAATCATTTTTATTAAATATGCAGCCAGATACCTTATTTGTGTCATGCAACTAATTTGCATAAAAACAAATGATTATATTCCCATGATTGTTTTATAGATTTTATATATTAACAAAGGAGTCATTGACCAATGCATGACTCTGCCGTGACTGTCGTTTCCGTTATGAACGGTTGTATCATATGGATGAGTCATTATAATAGGAGGTTCCTCTAATTTATGTACTTATAATGCAGATGGTTGTAGCAACTGCTTACGTGACAATTTCTTAAGAGAGAATGTCCGACAAATGCATAGTTCACGTAATTTCAATGTGACCTAGTTAATTATGTACAAATAAAATACATATAATTCAGCCTATAAAAGCTCTTACTTGGTACGAAATCCGGCAGTCCCGTATTGTATGAACACATCACTGGTTTTTGGGTGCATTTCTCTTGCGAACGCGTACACTACTCGTAGACTACTTGGCGGCATTGTGATCGGGGAAATTTATATACAAGGCCGCGAATTAATCAAATACAATCACTTTTATCAGCAACTGAGATTTCTACATTCCCGCTCCGATAGCAGTTGCAATCCAACCAAAAGCAACGAAGTCAGTGTCAATTCATTCAACGACCAACGTCAAATACTAAAGATCGAAATCAAACATTTCAAATGATAAAATATACGTCGTAAGAAGTGACTGTGACACTGACTTTATTTCATGTAGATTAAATATATTACAATGACAACTGTCACAATTGTAGTACTGTGAAACGTCAGGCAAGTTTGTTGTCAAAATATCTTTTGTGCTACTTCACACCAGATGGCCAAAGACTCCAGTATAAACTGATGTAGTTCGAATATTCCTCAATAGATAGCACTACTATATACTTAATAGTTATATTTGATTACACTTTAATTTATTTTACTTTTTTTTTGATGTATGTACACAACATGTGACAATGACAACCCCATTGTGCCTATACAAAATAACAGAAAAATAATAATTTCCTAATATCGATTACAATAACTTGACTGCAAATAAATACATCTTACATCATTCCTTGAACAGAAAATAAAAATTAGTTTGACAGACGGCTATTTATAAAAAATAAATTAAATCACATTTAAATGTGATTAAAAATTTAACGTACGTACGTAAACGAATAAAATTTTTATCTATTTAGGTACAATGAGCTAGATAAAAACGAATAATAAATAAACATAATCACTACCTAAATATTAGTTTCATGCGAACATGTAAAAATAAAAATAAACCTTTGAATAGTGGAAAGCACAGATAACATTAGTAATATTACCTACATAGTGAACAGAGAGAATTAATTAATCAAATCTATGATAAATAAATTCTCATAATATGTCAATGCCGACATTTAAGTAATTGTTTTGTTCAATAATATTAATTTACGAAAGTTTTTAGGTTTTTGCTAAAAGAGTTCTTCTCATAATTATCTATTATATAGATAACGAATAATAATATAAGTACTCGAAAAAATATAAATATTTGATTGATTTTTCGAGATCTATTTTTTAGAGATGCATTGTGTGCACTATTATCTACTTCTTTATTTTTCACCTAGATACCTAGCTAGATCTACCTAGATACCCCTATAGACGTCTGTTTGTTTGTACAAAATTATTTGCCTACTATTATTAACCTACAGACACTAATTTAATCATCTTCTATTTTTGCTTTCATTGCACAAAGGAAGACACGTATCTATTATTTTTTATTTTTCAATAGGTATCTACAATAGTCAGATTAACGTGTTACAATTTTATTTTATAATAGGTATCTATAGAGAAGGAAATCTATCACCACTTTTTTTGAGATACCTACTCCTTTAATATCCCAATTGTTTCAAAACTGTCTTTCATTTCAAGAATCTGAGACGTATCATCTTCCACTGGTGGCTCGCCAGCGTAGGTACCTATACCAGAGTGCACTATTCCATTCCCATCTTTAAAAAGTAAATAAAGGAATAACAACGTCTATAATATACACCACGTTAATAACCTCACGTTAGAATAGGTAGGTACCTCTTTTAGTAAAACGATGCGATGCGCACGCGTCTCGCATAGCATGCATAATGAAGTGGCCAGCAGCGCGAATTAATTGGCGTTTGGCACATTGCCACTGCCTCGCCAATGCAACTGACTGTTAAATAATCAACTACTTAACTGTGGTTACCTTAAAAAATAATTAGGAGTTGCAAGAATTGCGATGTCTGATAATGTGAAGGTTTTTCCAATAAACCAATTTCGACTGTAAATTTTGGACTTATCACCATCTCAAGGATTAATTAGTAAGTTGTTATATTTGTTGACGTTATTGTGCATAGAAGAAAGGAAAGGGGTAGGGCATCTGCATGATGGACTGATATTATTCGATATATGTACATGCAGTGACGCGAAATATGCAGTCAGCGATCTATTTAACAATGATGCCAGGAGAGCGTTAGTTGGAAGAAGCATTCCTGTGGTGGAGACTCTCACCCTTAAGGAAAGAAGAAGATGATCAAGATGTTTGTAGCTACTATTTAGGTATTATTATACCTAGGTAGGTATACTAAAAACTGTGACGATTAGTTTCATTGAAATAGACAGGTACAAATTACCAACAGAGAATTAATTAAATATTATCTAAAATACATACATACCTATTATCTAAGTACCTATATTACCTACTTAAATACAATTCTCATTTCATTGTTTATCTCATTACTTTTTTAATTTGTCAACGTAGATATAATAAGTATACATAATTAAGCTAATAAAAAATTAGCTTAGCATATTGTTATTTCAGATGCTGTGCTCAGAAAGGTACGAAGTTAGGAGCTCAGCTAATAGCCCTGCAAAACATATGCAATAAGACAAGATAGTAAATTCTAAAATTAGACATGAATATTAGAGGAAATAATTAATTAAGGTTTACAAAAGATGGTAATCAATTAAATATGAGCGTGATACACACATGTCTTTATTTAACAAAATTAAAGCAGATGAGGCTAATATTAGTGTGTGTTCGGTCACGGAGCGTTGCCATAGAAACCATTAAAGCCCGTTTAGACGATTCAGCGTTGGCAATTAATCGTACAAGTCATAATGAGAACGGTCCTTAAATAAACTGATGTTACCAGGGTCAGCTAGGATTCCATACTACCCTATATTAGAAAAGCTAAAGTGTCTGTTTGTAACCTGTTAGTAGTCTATACGATTTCTATTCAGTGGCTGTTTACGAATCTTAGTCTGCTATGTTGAGTTAAAGATACTCCCTATGCCTGTCCTCATGATACTATGTGTCTTTTAATGAAATTTCGTTACAAATCTTTTAGGCGTGAAACGGTAACAGCTTATGAACGAAAATAGGGGCGTGTGCAAAAGGCACTCTATATCTGCGGAAGAGCTTATAGAGCGACTGAAGGACCACTAATGCCTAAAGAATATGACATCAGTCTGAGTTTCTAACCTTCGCTCTGCCGTCATAATTTCGATTACAAGGAAAGGGAGAAAGTAGAACCACATTTTTCTTAACATATATTTGTTTATGTTGATAGAACGTTTATCTCTCTTTCTTATGATTTCAGAACCGCGCTATGGTCGGCCTGATAAGATATATTGTCGACTTACAGGCAGAATAAAAAAATATACTTATTAAATATCTGATATATCAAGTACATTATTTAATTAATGAAATAGGTAAGTATCTAATTAAATGTCCACAACCACTCACACAAATAAGTTAGATATAGTGGAAGGTGATTATTAATAATGGGAATTATTTACCTCTTTTGGTAGCAATAGTCATGTCAAGTGTGGGATCGTAATATTCTGGAAACTATTGGATAATTCCTGGTGAATACTTCGCAATTAGGTAACTGATCTGACTTCATGCGCATATTATCGTCCTTCACTGGAACCCCACCCCAGTGAAGATATAAGCGTAGGTACGTGTAAGCGCAGGTGGGGTATTATTCAATGTTCATCGAAAAAAAAAATATAAATAACTATATATCTTTATCTTAAACACCCTTTTATAATTTACAAGATTCACTCTGGTTTTGGTTTCATGCTAAATTTGTGCTAAAAATGTCTGCTACTTGACTAGTACCTATCTGAATATACTTAAGTAGATATATATGTAGATTATGTCTTTTTCCATAATTTAAGTTGTAAACAAACATTCTTCTACAATTAACAATATTCACTCTCATCTTTGTTTCATGCTATATTTGTGCTAAAAAATGTCTTCTAGTGGACTTGTGGTAGCCCTGTGTATGACAAGATCATTCACGGCCCACCGACCACCTCAACTAATTAGCTATTAGCGTGCTACATAAATGTCGCACGCATTAATTAGTGTTTCAACATTGCTACCCATTTATACAGATTTACTCGATTGAATAAAAAAGAACATAATATTTTTTTAATCTCTTTATCGTTTTGTGAGAGGCAAAGACACTGAACACATACTGTTTTGTAATTTATACCTACTGTATTTATTTTTTTTAAGTTAAAATTTACACTTACTTATATTCTTTATTTTTAATAATTTCCGTATCGAATTCCGAATCTTAATTAATTATCAAGTAAGGACATATTCTAAAATTATTAATCCAACTATTGTTTTATAAAGAAAAGTTATTTTTAAATGTTTTGTGTTTATTAATTTGTGTATTTGATGGAAATAATGATAAATAATAACCAAAAAATATGATCATATTCTTATTTTAACGTTAGTTAATACAACTTATTCGGGATCAGATATAATCCTTACTAATCTTATATATAAAATTCTCGAGTCACAATGTTAGTTGCCATACTCCTCCGAAACAACTTGACCAATTTTTGTTAAATTTTATATGCATAATCGGTAGGTATGAGAATCAGCTGCAATCTATATTTTATACCCCTAAGTGATAAGGGTTGTCCAACCCTAACATTTTATTTTTATTTTTTTCATTTGTATTTATTTATATGTGGCATTAAAAATAAATACAACACCTAATTTTCACCATTCTATCAACCCCTATTTTTTAAAAGCGATTTTAATTTATATAGCAAAACAACGTCTGCGGCCTCAGCTAATACCTATTATAAATGCGAAAGTAACTCTGTTTGTCTGTCTCGCTTTCACACCAGAACTACTGAACCGATTCCAATGAAATTTAGTATACAGATAATCTAGACCCTGAGAAAGGACATACTACTTTTTAATGCGACTAAAGGGTTGTAAGGGGAGATGAAAGGTTGAATGGAAATATCGTCATTTTTAAAGCTTGGAACTTATTTTTTAGGCTGTTGATTAAATGTAAATAAATATAACATTCAAAATTTATATAAATTTTGCCCTTAAGAGGGGATGAAATGGAAATTCCTCGTTCGTCGTCTATTCCACGACGAAGCACAGCGGGCACAGCTAGTATAAATATATATTTATATAAAAGAGAGTATAGAGGTGAGTTAATTACTTCAACCGAGAAACAAATGAATATACGAAGGTATGTGCGTGGAATTGGACATAAAAAGAAGCATTAATTCTTACACCATTTATAAAAGCAATAGATAGGTACCTACATATTATATATACCTAAGGTTACGACTAAATTATATACACAATAATATAGAATAT